CTTCACAGCCCCAGGACATCCTCAGTTAATTTATGCAGGGATTTATCTCTAACAATTGGCTTGAAAACAAAATAAGATTTTCAGTACTCTTTATGGTAATATGGAAGATAGAATGGGTTAAACTCATGGATTAAATCCATGAATTTTGCAAATGAGATTATCAGAAAGAATGGTGAAAGTTACAACTGACTTCTTTTAGTTGACTATTATAAAATACAGAAGAATGAGATAAGCTAAAAACAAACCAATCTATTTTCATGCAAAATTTAGAGAAAAATTAAAGGAGTCAGGACTTCCCAGGGTCAAAAAATTAAACTATATAGCAGTCCCAGGTACTCCAGATGGCAGAAAGTTCCTTGGGTCCTTGGGTTCGTCTGTGAGATGACTGGCAACTTTTGGTCTGTTTGCCCCCCTGTAAAAAGTCTACCTGAAGCATGTCTGCTGAAGAAGCACGTGATAGCCACGTGGAAAAACCGGAGAGCCAGAAACAGACTTTGTCAGCTCCCAGCTGATTCGTGTCCAGCTGTTTAAGTCATCCCAGCTGAGGCCTGAGACACTATTAAACAGAGTCAGCCCTTCCCTGCTGTGTTCTTCTGAATTTCTGACCCACAGAATAATGTAATTTAATTAAATAAGTGTTTAACCCTCTGTGTTTTGGGTGATAGTATGTTATGCAGCAAGAGATAACCAGAATCTATGGGTTCCTCTATAGTTTACAGCCTTCACACAGGGTGGATTATATAAAAAATTCTGATCAACAGAAATTCTGGTCTGTGACAGTTCAGGATAGAAGATGCCTTCTCCACACATATACTCTTTTATAAACAAAATCAGAATTGAAGGACCAAAGAAGATAGAGTTAGAAGATAGAAAAAGCGTGTGATAAGCTTAGAACCAAATTGTTTGGGTTTACAAAGTGAATATAAAAATTTTGAACAGTCTGTCTATGAGCTCAAAATATTCTTTTATAGTCTGATCTGTCTGTATCTGTAAATAATTGTAAATGCTGGCACCCACCATTGTTTCAGCCCAGCAGCCACTTCTAGGAACTTACAAAGTAAGGAACATAGTAAGTCTTGCCTGTTAGCTCCTAAAATACTTCAGCAATTATGCTTTATTAGCTTTCACTTAGTATAGGTTTGGTGACAGGTAAGAAAAACAAGACAAAATTTTGATGAATTCCTCATATTTCACTGGTATTATTACATCATATTGCATCACATTACAATCTATAAAAAAGTATAGAAATAGAAAAGCAAAATAAATAAATAGGAAGAGTTTTGAAACTTACAATTTTTCATGACCACAAATTGAGGGGAAAATAACTAACTAATGAGCTAGAAAGGTATTCCTGAAATGTTTTTTTCAATCTGCCTCGACTTTTAACAGTATTTTACAGTAACCATTGACTGTCCAATTGAGTTATAAACCGTCTTTGGAGTCAGAGTTCACAAAACTCTAGGTAAACCATTGGTTACTTTATCTCTGTTAATTAGTATTCACAATTATTTGTTTTAATAACTTACTTGCCTCCTTGCTTGAAGAAAAAGAAATCATGACATATTGCTTACAAATTTCCTTTAAGTCATATGTGAGTCAACATTTACTTTTCCAGTTGAGTAACCATGGTCCTTAAAATAACAGCCGAAACATTTTATTGCTCACAGTATATGTTAATATACAGGGAACACACAGATAAACAGTGTAAGTACTACCCAACCACACAATATATGAGTGATATTGGCAAGTGTCTATATGCAATTTCATTCAACAACACAAAAGAATACACAACAAATTGGTTTTGTCAGCTGATACCTCCCAAACAAATTCAACATTAAGATTCCATGGATAGTGTCCCATTTGTTCAACTTTCCATTACATTATGTAGGAATGCATTGTTTAAGACAACAAGACTGGACTTTCCCATTTAGTTTTCCTTTATACAGTTTTCTTTGTTTTACAAATAGTAAACAACTTGAGAAGCAATATAATTTCACCTCTCAACTTTCTTATAGCCTATTTATTTATGCCTCAGAAGAGTTCTCTGGATTTCTTCAGGTCAGAGACTCCTTCTGATCACCCTCCTCAAGGTCCCCTTTACTTCTTTGTTTCTCCAAGTGTAGATCAGTGGATTCAGTACAGGAGTGACCACACTGTACATGATGGCAATGATCTGGTCCTGGTCCATGGAGCTACTGGAGGCGGGACGAATATAAGTGAAGACAACAGGAACATAGAAAAGAACAACTACTGTGAAGTGGGAGGCACACGTGGACAGAGCTTTATGAAGCATGCTGCAAGAATGGGTCTTGAAGAAAAGATAGAC